CTTGCCTCCGGGCTGGCATTGGCCGGCCAACCTCAGCTGTGGCCAAGCCTTTGGTCCTCGGTGTGAGGCTTCCCCGAGCGCTTGTCCCTCCGGAGAAGCCGTGGCTGGCAGCAGCCACAGTGGGAGAAGGGAATTCGCCGGGTCTGTGCCCTCCGCAAGGGATTTCTAACTGCTGGGGGGTCGTTACCTGGCGGTGGGAGCGATGCTCCCCGGCAGTTTTGCCTATTCCTCTGGATCAAAGCTTCTGTGGGGCTGGAGAGCCGCTGGCTTTGTGGGTGACCCTTAGGAGGCTGATCCTATAATTCTGCCCACCAAAAATACACTCCCCGTCCACCCCGGTGTGACTGGAAAAGCCAGTTGCTGCGTGCGGAGCTGGAGCGGTTTCATGTCGCTCCTGGTGCCTCCGCTATTTGTGTCTGCTGGGAAGGCATCTTCCGTTCCGGTCACGGATAATGGTGTCTTGTGCGGCCAAAGGAGCCTGCAAAGTGACAGCTTTGACGCCCGCAGCCTTCTCTTATAGCCCACGCGCGGCAAGAAAATTGCAGGTTCCCGTCCTGTGGGCTCCTCTTTCGAACGCCTAAAACGGGTGGTTTTGGGTGCAACCCTTCCTGCTGGAGGGTGGGGGCTCCGGTGGCGTGGGAGGCAGGTACCTGTCTCCTGTCCCTCCCGCAGCCCTGCGTCTGTCCCCGCGGAGGCCAGCAGGGCTTAATGCACTTGAGCCGAGACCTGCCAGGGGTTGTAGTGGGCGAAGGGCTGTTCTCCACCCGGCTCCCTTCGGATGATGCGTGGATGCATGAGTTGTTGCTGTCCTTATCGTGGAGGGAACAATTCCTCTGGGGAAATTAATTGTGGATCCCTATTATTACTATTATTACCTCTCCGTGGCCCCGTGCACAGCACCCGGCTGGCTCCCGGCGGTGCTCACGTGCCCGGTGAAAGCATGACGGGATGTATCAAACCGTGCATTTCTGTCCCTCCTTATCACCCAGGGTCGCCTGCGGTTGAGTTTCTGAGGGAGCAAAGGGAGCAGGACGCTGGGAGCGCGGCTGGAGCAAGGATTCATGCCTCCCTAAGGGCAGCCTGTGCTGCAAGTGGGATTCCCCCGTGCCCGGGGGTCGCCGCTCCCCACCCAGCGCTGCCGGCCAGGCTCCTGCCTGCACAACCCGGTGCCCACGTAAGGGCAGGGAGAAGCTGAAAGGCGCCTTGTCCGAATGCTTCCTCCCTCCTTCCCGGCCTCCTCGCTCAGCCCTGGCGACGGCTGCAGCCCGGTGGGGCCCCGCCACTCCTGTGCCAAAGCCAAGAAGGGCCGGGGATCCTGTTAAATTGCAATTCCCCCACGCTGAGCACGGGGACAGTGTCTGCCTGGTGGCCTCCCTTGCTTCCTCGCAGCATGGCCCCGATGCTTGTGCCGTGCTCTGATGTCCATGGCCAGGCGTGCTGGGGTGCAGAGCCCCAGCTAGCCGGGAGCACCAGCCCTGGACATGTGTTTTGGGTTAGATCTGCCCCCAGGTACCAGCACCTTCCCCCAAGACTCCTGGGTCAGGTCCCCCTCTGCAGTCAGGCATCCCTGTACGGCATTTTTTTAGGGCTGAGTTCCTGTATTCTGAAAGTCAGAGGGGTAAAAAAAGCAAGAAAAATGGGAGGGGGTGTAGGATTTAGGACGGTTAAAAATACCAAACTTATCAAAGGAACTGCTTAGCCCTGCGATTAGCTTCTCGCTTGGCGACTCTTCCTTTCTTAGCCTCGATTTCTTTAAAGCCATCAGCTTGTGCATTCGCAGCCCGGTGCCCCCTCCTCGGGGCTGGCTGAGCAGGAGGCTGCGGGATACAAACCCTCTTCTTCCGAGCAGCCTCTCCAAGGCAGCAGGGCCAGCATCCCACGCCCAGGCTGCCGAGCGGCGAGGGAAAACGGCCTCTGCTGAGTGCGGAGCAGATGGGGGACAAACACAGCCCCCCTGCCCGCCCGGGGCTGAGCAAACTGGGGCTGGCGCCTTGCGGAGCCGCTCGTGGGGCTGAGTCACCCCCTCCTGATCCCCCGGCCGGGTGTGTGTCACAGGTTTTATGTCACAGCTCTGTTAACCTTTGGTTCCTCGTGCCCGATGGGTAACACCCGAGGCTGCTCCCTCCTCATCGGTGATATTCAAAGTATGTTCTTTAACCCAGCTGGCAAAAGGTTTTTTTTTTCCCTTTCCCTCTTCCTGCTTCAAGCAAAAGCAGACTTCTGCCTTGACATTGGTCTCTCGTGTTCCTCTGATGTGCTTTGGCATCTTGGTTATATTAATAACCTCCCAGGATGGACCCTGCAGCCTGGTTCATTAAGCCTTTGCTTTCTAATGTCGCATTAGAGTTTGATTTCTAACGCGGCTCATGAATCGTACCATCTCGCCGAGGGTTTCTGCAATACCCTCTGGCCGTGACGGGGGCGTAGGGGCTCCGACATGCCTCCAGAACCTGCCTTCCTCCTGGCCTGCAGGGTAGGGAGTGGAAATGTTGTGTTTGGAAGCAGAGCACCGAGCTCTGGGGTATCTGCACCCCTAACCCTTGCAGCCAGCGGCCAGCTCTCCCGTGTGCCTGCTGGTGCCCATCGCAGAGCTGGTGCCTGGCATCCCCTCCTGCTCCAGACAAAACCCTCCCTGCCATGGGCACTGTGGCCTCTGAGCCGCCCCAGCCCCCTGGCAGGGCTGGCGGGGGGGTAGGAAACCCAGAGCTGGCATGAGCCTGCAGCCCCTCTGCAAAATGGAAACTGCGGTGTCTCATTTTTCCCTGGAAATCTCTTGTTTCCTGCATCATCCTGGACCAGAGATGGGACAGGACCTGCTCTGTGATGTGCTGCGTGCCCACGGCCCTGGCTGGCGCCAGCACTGGAGGGGTCTGACCCGGGCACATCGGCACGGCCCCGGTGCTGCCTGCCCCTGCCTCTGTGCCTGGGTCCCGTGCTGGAGCCAGGCAAGGCCACGGGAGAGCCCAGATGGCAGCCGAGGTGTGTCCTGGCTTCTCCAGAAGATGATATAAAACGCTTGGCAGCCTTTCCTTGAAAGGTGTTTCCAGGCCCAGCTGGAGGCGCCGTCTGGATGGGAGGCAAATACGCGAGGTCTGCAGGAGCGTCTGCGGAGGCGCGTGTGTTGGGGAGACATCGGCTTCATCCCGCCTCCCCCGCCTTGCTGCCAGGTCTCTGCCTCCGAGCTTTATCTTGACACGGCACGTGAACGCAGCACGGATCTGCAAGCACAGCCCTCATCCTGCAAGCTCCGGCTTTTCCCCACTATCCCATCTCCGGCGGGCTGCCATCCGGCCGTGGGATGGGAAGGGTTACGGGAAGCTGCGTGTGCTGGCCGGGCACGGTGGGCGTCTGGCCCCTGTGCTTGGGTGAGCATCTCCCCGCTCGGGCAGCGATGCATCGGCCGCTCTCCCATCCCGCTCCATCAAAGGCGGCTCCCGCTCCGCTTCTCCCACCGCCCGCAGCCGGAGGGGGCGAGCGTCGGCCCCCACCTTGCACACACACAGAGCCAGGCTGCTCTGCCTGTGCTGGTTGCACGGGAGCCCAGAGCTTTAATCCGCTTGCGTGAGAAGCAGCGGCGACCTTTTCCTTTTGGTGACAACATTCATCTGTCCGCAGTGCCCAAGGCAAGGGAGGGGAACCCCTGGGAAGGGCAGCTCGGGCTGCACATCGTAGGCTGCCACCAAACAGAGCCCCTAGGGCTCCTTCCTCCCCAAAGGGGCAGAGGCAGCTCCTGATGGCCACCGGTGCAGGGCCAGGACCTTGTGGAGAGGATGGAGGAGGTCAGGGTGTCTCTGCACACCCGCTTCGCCCCCTCGTGAAAACGGGGTGTCTTTCTGGCCGCTCGGAGCTGGAAGTCAGCAAAGCCACTGGGTCGGGGCGGGCCAGGCAGCTGGGCGCTGCTTCCTTCCCTCTTGGAGCCATCGAGGCAGCCGTTGGGTTTCAGCCTCTGCAGAAGCTGCTTCTGCTTCTGGGGTGACTTGGGTGGAAGCAGCAGGGCCAGCAACCCCCGGAGCCGAGGCTGCTGTGGGCTGGGGAGCACATCTGGGCTGTGGCTGCATCAGCTCCCTCCTGGGAGGGCTGGAAACCCCAGTATTAAAGCTGTGTAGAGCTATATTTAAAAAAAAAAAAGGGCGGGGAGGGGGGGTTTTAAAGAAAACCAGGACTTTTCAGCTCCTGGGTGTGATGGGAAGGGATGCTGAAGTCAGTGTCTGGCGAACAGAGATGAGGATGGTTGTGTCTTGCCAGCCCCCACCCCCTGGGTTCGTTCTGGCCTTCCTGGGTGTATTCCTGCCCAGAGGCCACCGAACAGCCCCTGCCGTGGAAAGGCTCTTGTGCCGGTGTAGCTCGTGGAATCCTCCGGGCCGCCAAGCAGGCAGCTTGCCATGGGCCGGCTGCTGCGCGGAACGGGCCTCGGAGCACTGGTAGCCTACAGGAAATTCAAATGAAATCCCAGTTCCCCCAGCCCCTGCTGAAAGAGAAACAAGCTCAGCAGATGCATGGGAAGCTGTTTGCGTGTTTCAGCTCTTGGCAATTCCCCGCTTTGCTGTTACTGGATACGCTGGGGGGTCTCCCGAGGAAGGCAAGGGCCCTGTTACAAAGCTGCTGCCTCTCCTGAAGCACAGGGGTCTAAATCTGTTGGGTTTTTGGTTTTTTTTTTTCTTGCTTTTACCCAGATTCGCTACAAGGAGGAGTTTGAGAAGAACAAGGGGAAGGGCTTCAGCGTGGTGGCTGACACCCCGGAGCTGCAGAGAATCAAAAAGACTCAGGATCAGATCAGCAACGTGAGTAGTTTCTCATCTCTGCGTGTGATATTGCCGTGACCTTCCTCCCGCCGGAGGAGGCTGGGGCGGGCTCTGCCCGGGCGGACCCGTGCTCTTGGTGGCTGCTAACGAGCACGCCAGGCTGCAGCAGCTTGAAATTCTCCAACCCCCTTACCCGGGCACCTTGCGACCCTCTCACGCCTCTCCCGGCTCCTCCGTGCTGGCAGATGCTGCAGCCGGATCCGGAGGGGTGTCCGGCTCCTTCGCCTCTCCCGAGGTGCTCGAGTCCACGTCGGTTGCGGGAAGCAAGGAGGGGAGCAGCCGGGAGTGGCCTTGGGTGGGGGCAGATGTGGACCAGGGGCAGTCCCATCCGTCCCTGGTTGTCACCGTAACCCAAACGTGGGTGGCACTGCGGGGTCCGGGCTCGCTGGGGCCAGCCCCGCGCTGCTCCCCTGAGGGACTCCAGTCCCTCTTGCGCTCTCTCGGGCTCGTGTTTGTGTGCGGAAACCCCGGCCCAAGGCGCACCTCTTCCTCCTGTCCCTTTGCAGCTGTGACCGTCCTCTGCCAGGCTCCGCTTCCCTTCACGCCTCCTCTGCCTCCTGCAAAGCCCTTTCCAGCCGCCCGGCTGTCGGGAGCGTTGGCCGCTGCTGGGTTGTGCTGAGGCTGCGCGCGGTCCCCAGGGTCCCAGCGCCTGCTGTCACCCGGCCCGAGGGTAGGACAGGCGGCGTCATCCGCTTCCCTCCCTACAGGAGCACCAGAGCAGCCTGGCAGGGAGCTCCTCAAGGTCCCTTGGCCCTGCACAGCGTCCCTCCCGCCTTGATGCTGAGACGGAGGGGTTGCTGGGGGCCGTGCACACCAGCATCTCTGTCCGGCTTTGGCCTTCTGGAAAGGGAGCTCTGTCCTGTGTCTGCAAGAGCCCCAGCTCTTCCATTTCCAAAAATGACATTAAAACCATGCCCAAGCTCAGTGGTGGCTGGCCTGGCAGCTTGCGCTTCACCCCGCAGCCTCCGTCCACGTCCGAGGCGCTGGTGGTGCGGTACGCAGCAGCCGTGGACGCCTGTGCGTTGCCATGGTGAAGGAAGAAGATGCACACTTGCACGTATAGCTGCAGCGCTGGGTGCGGCAGACGCGGGGGAGATCTGTCCCCTGCCCAAACTTGACCCTGCGCTCCCAGGCGTCGCGAAAGGGGAGCCGGCAGTAGCCTCAGCCTTCAGCAGAAGGCGGGGAGTTAATTAACCTTTAGCCGCTAGCGAAAGTCATGAGAGTTCCTTATCAAATGCCCAGGAGCTGTTGCCAAAGCCTGGCAGGGTTGGGAAGGCTGGGTTCTCCCTGACCAGTAAACCCGCCCCGGGAGCGCAGCTTTGCATGAGAAAACTCTTGGGCGTCTGCTCGACAGGCAGCTTCCCTGAGCTGCCCCCCAGCTTCCCTGAGCTGCTCCCCGGGTTCTCTGAGCTGCCCCCCGGCTCCCAGCTCCCCTGAGCTGCCCCCCGGCTTCCTTGAGCTGCCCCCCAGCTTCCCTGAGCTGCCCCCCGGCTTCCCTGAGCTGCTCCCCAGCTTCTCTGGAGCCAGGGAGGCTCCAGAAGTCAAGGCCAGGTTGGACGTGGCTCTGAGCAAATGGATCTGGTTAAAGGTGTCCCTGCTCCCTGCAGGGGGGTTGGACTGGGTGACCTCTAAAGGTCCCTTCCAACCCATTCTGTGATTCTGTGAGCGTGATTCTGTGAGCTGTTTCCCCCTCGGAGCCCTGCAGCGCCCTGAGCTGCTCTTGCTGGCTGAGCCCTGGGCACTGCCTGGGGGGAGAAACCCACCATGCTCTGGGGTGAGCCAGAGCCCCTACACCCGAGGCGATGTGAGACCCCATGAAAGCATTTCCCGGAGCTTTT